TTTTTTTTTTCTAGCAGTTAGTTGGAGCCCTCTACTGTAGGAGACACCAGGCCAGATTCTCAGAAAAACTTCTCTGAAGCTGACAGTATTCTGAATTTAGCCTGACTGAGAGCCTTCAGTAAGAGATCTAAGCCAAGAGCACAATGAAATGCGCTCCATAAAATTCCCACAACCCTTTTCAGAAGTCTAGGGGCGATAGGTGAATTCCCTGGTTAAACTCCAGTTGAGTAGCTACATCCATCGTCCCGAACCCTTGCTGCATTTTGAACTGGCTAAGGAGATCACTGTTATTTTCTGTCCTGCTTATTCTTGCTTCAGGGAAGTGCTGTGTTGTGCCCCATGCATGTTTTTTGGGAGGGGAATGCAGTAACTGCCTGGTAACTGGCCGAGCTCCCACTGGGTACAGAGAGGCTGCATTAGGAGCATATGGATTGCCTGCTGTAGATATGTGTTTAGTGAATATTTAGCAACAAACCCTGTCATTAAGCATAAGAAGGAAAGCCACAAAACATGAATGAGCTAAAAGCCCCATTTTGCCGTTGCTGCTTTCTGTGGCTTCTGTTGCTAGTTTGACATTAATAAGGCTGAGGAATATTCAGAGCCTAAATTCTAAGAATGGGATAAAGCTGCTTTTATGGAGTTCAAAGGTTTATTATACGAATAAGGACGAGCGAAATAAATCTTGGCAGTTCTTTGGTCACCTTCCCTGCAAAGCTGTGGATTTCTCCCTTGTGTTCCTATTGCTTTTGCAGCAATGAATTTTTCTAAATAGCCGATGGCTGCGCTTGTTATTACAGCAATGCTCTCGAACACAAGTGCTGGACCCACTTGAAGATAAATGAAGTGGAATGGAGGCTAGGCTCTCCAAATCTCAGTTTGCATAGCTTAATCAATCAGCTAATGGAGGGCACTTCGAAATCTGCAGCAACTTGTACACATTAATGAAGATTTCCTTCTTTCACCATCAAACAAATAAATGACAGTACACATGATATATTTGATATTACAAACATGGGCATCTCCGGCTTGACGGACTTTGTTTATTTCTTCAGTTATTCTGTAATCGCTATAAAACTTCTTGCACTGACAAAGCTTTTGAAGTGGATAATGGAATTCTTTCCTAATGAGGACCATATATCTTATCATTTCCTATCAGACAGTAGAACATTTCTGGCATGCCTTTCTCAGTAATATTTGATTACAATTTCAGGAATTCTAGATGGATGAAATGTAACAAATCAGTCTCCTCAGAGGCATGAGGGAAATGCTAACAAATAAGGAAATGTATCTAACCAGACAAACAGGTCACGTCTGCTGTTAGTCATGCAACAGAATTCAGCACTGTTAATAGGAGGTGTAGAGACAGTCAAAAGATAAAAGTTATACTTCATCTTAAAGTCAGCCAAAGAAAGGAGATGTTCTACCACTAGCCTAATCAATTCTTCTATTGATTAGTAGCACCATGACACAATTTTCCTGTCACCGAGGACTACTGTCATTTTAATGAAGATAACATTTAGAATTGAATTAGTCTCTAATGACCTTTCAGAACAGCAGCAGTAACTCTTAAGAGGAATATACTGCATCTGTTCCTTTAGCCCTAGGATGTCTTATATATAATTGGCAATACAGATTATGAAACTCAATTTTATGAACACTATGTATACTCCCATTTCTAAGATCAGTCCTATTTTCAGGGAGACAGAAAACTGGATTGCATACCATACTATTCTCCACTTACTGTAATTTGAGAAATTGCTCCAGTCTTACAAGAATGATAGTTGCTATTCCAGTATGTTACAAAAGTGAGCGATAATATTATGTTTCAGAAAACTTACATTTGTTTCCTTATATTTTTAACTAATACAGCAAAAACAAAAAGATAAAACACACTTAAACTGAAATTACAAGTTTGCTTGGATAGAAGCTGTCCTAACACTACACTTAAAGTTAAAAAAAAAGGGAAGTAAGACAAAATTGAGACATGAAAATGACATTCAGATTTTGGATACATTACACCTCCATTGTAGTTGTTGTTCACTTTGAATTAAAATGTTATTTTCTAAAATTTAAACTTATGTTTTGTGGAATGCTTGGGTATGAACTTTAAACTCTTCAGGAGTGGCCAGAGACGGTGACTTACCAGATTTTGCTGACAGAGCCAATAAAATTGCTGGAATTTCTGAGACATGAGGAGCTGAGCACTTCCAACAGCACTTCGGATCTTACCTAGGACTGAGCGCACAGACAGGTTATTACTAGTGCGTGTAAATGCAAAATGGCAGCTGAACAAAACACATAGCTGAATTCCAGCTATGGAATGCCAGCTTCTTTTATAAAAGAAGTAAATATTCATTTATGCTTTCTTAGATCAGATATATCTTAAAAAAATAAGGAAGTTACATATATAGGAAGGCTCTGTGGCACTTTATCCTTTGGCCATAATAAATGATATATTAATAACTCAGAACAAAAGCCTATCTTGCTTAAGAAATTAGAGAGATACATATCTCTCTATATAAAGATATACACACGCCTAGCCGAAATGAGCATTTATACATGTATTTCTGAGAGCAATCTTAAAGTCCAAACTAAATGACCAAAACAAATAAGGTTAGTGATAAACATTATCAATCGGAATGCTTTCTCTGCAAATGCATTAATACAGATCTAACAAAGAACTTTACTGCAAACAATTCAGTAGGTCTACTGACATCAAACATTAGTCAGTTATCACCAAAATTCATAGTCCACCAGTTTTCCTAGACTTATCTCCCAAGCATTATCAGGCTCAGCTAACGAAGATAACTTTACTCCACAGACACCACACAGGAACATCATTTATCATGTTCCTATGAGACTGTCATTTTATTTTTCAGATATCATAAAACTATTTACAAAGATTTCTCTTTTAAGTAAAGTCCTAAGTTACTACTGCACAATATGCCGATAAGATTATCATTTTAACTTTCTTTATCTGAATCCATAAAGACATTTTCTATAAGCATTATGGATATACAACAAAAGAAGAATAGGAAACAGACTTAGTTTTGCCCATGTAAACTGAAAGGCTGTTAAAGTACTCGTCTTGAAAACCAGGCAGGCCTTTCAGGGCAGAATTCCGCTCCCTCTGAAGTCAAAAGAAGCTTTAAATGTATCTTGGATCAAATCATCTGGGTGATTTCACCCAGATGTGTGAATGATCCCTGGATGAACTCTATCCTAAACTGTATGGGATTAAGGTTAATATGCTAAACTAGAGCATACAGTGGTCCTACCATAATGACCATCTCAGATGATTCATGTCTTTGAGACATGCCTTGGCACCTCCAAGGTTGCCTGCTCCGGAAAATCCTCGAAGCTCTAAGCACAGGAGCTGCAGTAGAGTGGGACCCAAGCGTGTGCTCCAGGGCTTTGCTCAGCCATGATCAACCAGCATGGTTTGCTGGGCTTTCCCCCTGTCCTCGTGCATGTGTGCATATGCAATGGGGAAAGGGACTGCTTCCAAGAAACAGCAGTCCAATCAAAATTTCTGTATGCTTGCTTTACAGCTAATGAAATCAAATAGTCAACTCACCCATGGTGAGCAGTTTATTTTGATTGAAATTAATCTCTTCCTGGAGATGCCTATTTATTTCTAGCGACTAGAGAGCTTGGTTAGAATGAGGACTGGTTAGAAAACAAACTCCTCCTAGACATACATTTGCCAGGATAAATACCACACTTTGGTAGGTAGCAATGTATGTTCGTAGATTAAACTGCACATCCTTCCCTGAAAAAGCAGTATCTTAAAAAGCACAATAGGCTGTAGTTTCATTGGAAGACTTAGTTTCTCCTGAGAATAACCAGATGTTTAAAAAATGTTCATGGGCAAAGCTGGAAGGATCTTGATTGATAATTCAAACTGGACCCGGAGAGTAGAATGAAGTTTATATTACAGGAAAACTAAACTGCAACATGAGATATAGGAAACATTAAACTCCAGCAAGGCTCAACATTTTGTTGTTTTTAGAGAAAGAGGTGATGGGATGGCACGTGAAAGGAAATTTTGATAACTGGCATTATGCTTTAATTTTCCTTTAGCTAGACCAGTGAGACATCTGCCTCACCATAAGAAACAAGAGATAATTTAGAAGTTTTAGGCTGCAGTTCTGTGAAAGCATACATGCTTCTCTAGCTTTAAATGCATGTGTAAATTTGTAAAGCTGTGCTTCTCAAAAGCTATTCCATTTTCTGTCAGAGAAACAGCTCACAGCTGCACCACAACACTAAATTAAACGGTACTATACATAATTCATCAGTCCCTTGCGGCACCCATTTGTGAAAGGGTTAAGTGGTTCAGGACTGCATGAATAATTCACTGGAGTTTTGTTTTTGTTTTGTCGGTCAAGTGAAATAAAACTTTTTAATTGGTTTGGGGTTTCTGATCACCAAAACCCTCACTTTTCTCTATGGAGTTTTTGACAAACGAAAAGGAAGTTTTTAGGTGTTAAACAACAAACGATCTGAAGGATCTTGGAAAAGGAAATGTTTTCAATTTTATGTGAAACAAATTAATTTGTTCTTTTTCCCCAGCACTTTTTAACAAACAACAAAGACGAAAAAGTTTGGATTCTCCTTCCTTTGGTGTTATGTACCTCAGGACATAAGACAAACTCCAGATGTAGGATTCAAATTTCTTCTTAGCCAAGATGAGGCATTTTGCTATAGGAGGGGTCTGTGACATCTCCTTGCTAAGCTGATCCACATTATATTCAGTGACTTACTGGACAGAAAGAGAATGAGATGGGCTGATTAACCTTAGGCCAGCGGTGACAGTACTTGTCTGACAAGGAATAAATTTTGGTTTTAGTTTCCTCCATCTAATTCATCTCACTGCTGAAATGCGCAGTTTGGGGAAAAGAAATCCTGTCTGGACCTACAACAGAACTGACACTTGCTAGTGAATCTTCTTCCTCTCCCCAAATATGCATTTGCTTGGTCTTCATTATCCTGAAGGACAGTGTTAACAAACACCCATGATTTAAAGCCCAGGCAGATCAGACAAGATACAGGCACTGGCAGTGTGGCATTTTGGTGTAATACATGTGCACTGGATGATAGATTGAGTGGTATTTCCACACAGGTTTCCTTGGGGAAATCCCCACGGACAGACAAACCGCAGCCTCGCAGGTATACAGCCTGCTCCTGTGTTTGACCACCTTCATGCTGGGGGTTTTTCCGTTCTGCATTTCACTGTGTACCTGTGAGAAGAGTCTGGCTCCATCTTCTTGGTGATTGACTCACCAGGCAGCGGCAAGCTGTGATCAGCTCCCCTATTAGCACCATCTTCCCCAGGCAAAACGAACCTTGATCCCTCAGTGCCAGTGTGTATACGGTAATTTTAAATAACTTGCAGCATTCCTGGTTCTCAGGAATATTAGATATGAAGAAGCCTATAGCAGTTCTCAAAAATGTCTCTAGTAGTAGCGAACACACACATATAATTACAGGCCTATCGTTTACTAAAAATCTCCCAATTCTATTTCCATTTCAATAAGTAAATCAGACTTAATAAAACATAGATGTTAGAATCTCTCATATTCATGCCACTCTGCTTTACTGTAATTAAATTAAAGTATTAAAATACTTCAATTCATAATCTTTAGCACACTATTAATAGACAACCAAAGCCTTGTTATTAATTTCATGCATTGGGGAATTATTCAGATGAGTGCAGATTGATTATCTCCATGAAAGAATGATGAATGTTGGAGACTAGAGAGATTGAGATATTTGGTAATGCCTAGAATATTTTGCTTGTAAATAAATGATGATAAAATCAACCTACTCACATAAATATATATAAAATCCACATAATTCATCTACCCTTTCACCTCCCATTAAGATAATGTCGTCTTTACTCGAAAGACAGGAGTGATACACCCATAATTCTGCTCATGAAACGTATGAATTTGTTTCATATTCAGCACATTAAATATTCAGCTTTTGCTGTATGGTCCTGTAAGACTTCTCTTTTAAGGACATACAAAACTTAAGACTACGACTTCAGAAGCAGGCTCAGAATTTAGTGTCTGGTTAGAGACTGCGCAAGTTCCTTGTAAGAACATGCACAGTTAATGCAATGGTGTTTTCCCTGCAATAAGCATATTTTAAGATTGGGAATACATACATTGGGTATGTATGTTCTATTGCTTGAGAAGTGCTACAAAATCATTCAATTGAATATCGCTTTATACCACAGAAACAGAGGGTGAAAAATTAGATCTATACCAAAGAAATCAAAATCATAGTCTGATGCTGTAACTCAATTTTTGACAGGTTAAAAGCTTTGTTCAATTGTGCCACTGCAGAACCAGTGATGAGAAAATGCTAAGAATCAATCTGATCATTTTCGTTTTCCTGGCATCCATTACTGTGTATTTAACTGATGTGTTTGTTTATTAATGTTTGTTCATCTTAGCAGTTTTTCATTCATTCATATCTAATTTGAAAATTTTCATTTCTTTTTTTTTCTATAATTGTAAATAAATTATTTCATATACAATATAGAGAACATATGTCTGGAAAAAATCTTACAGCTGTCATTTAGTTCATCCTCCTAACTCATGTCAGGGTATGTAGAACAGATACTTTTCTCATCTCTTAACCTTCTAACTTTGCAATCTTTGGTCTGAAATATGTGGCTCTTCTTCTCTTCTCTTCTCTTCTCTTCTCTTCTCTTCTCTTCTCTTCTCTTCTCTTCTCTTCTCTTCTCTTCTCTCTTCTCTTCCTCTTCTCTTCCTCTTCTCTTCCTCTTCTCTTTTGACATGAGACCAAAGTGCTTTCTGTTTGACTTGTGTACTGAATTATTTCTTGAAAAACCTCAAGGCATTCAGGAGGCCAGGATGTCCTCAGCTCCTCCTGCTTCTCTCAACCGGATCTACCAACTCTGGGCAGTGACTAAGGCCCACGGTTGCCATTCCTGTCTGCACTCCTGCTCCCTCCTTCTGGCCCTCCTTGTTTTCTGCAGCTTTGCAACACTCAAGAGCGCTTTTCTTAACATCACCTATGCATCTCTAATAGCCAAATACAATTTCCAGAGTGCGAAATTCAAACTCCAGCCTTTACCCTTGAGAAACATGTATTGTTGCCACAAGATATTCTGCTAGTACTGATGATCAGGTGACACACTCCCATATACACACACATATATTCATTATAATAAACATTGAGAATACAAATAAGTGCCCACATAAACAATACATGAAATTTACAGACTCAAAAATACTGGCTAATGATCAAATAAATAAATTCTGCAAAAAGAAAGAAAGAGAGGTTATTTTTGTTGCCATGATTATTCTCTGCTATTCAAAGACCTGATGAGTGAAGTTCTTAAAACAACATTATGGGAAAGAAGTTACAGTGAAAGAAAAAATCAATACAGCAATCAGACAGCCTTCTGTGATCTCAGGACTATTGTGCTAACACACAAAATGAAATTGCTTTCTAAAATGCAGTTCTATTTTAATTCTTCCTATGATTAAAACAAAATATAAGTGGTAGCATAAAGATGGTCTTCTCCTATGAGATGCAAAGATATATTTGTTCTTGAGGTATAATTAATATAACATGGTTTAAAATAAATGATTCAGTACTAAGAATGACAGTCCAAATGTGCAAACTTTGCTGTGAAGTGTTTTGGGAATAGGAGCTGGGACATGGGAAAACATTCAGTTGCTTCTGATCAGGCATTTACGATTTTTTCTTTTTTTCAGGGAATTGCTAAACGCTTAAATATGTCAAAATACATTTTGTGCTGAGGTATCATTAAACCTCTGTTCTTGTGGATACACACCTTTCAACCACTGCAGCCCAAATGGGGGATATAAAATGTGTCAAAGACTCAACATGAAAAAAATGCACACAGAAATCTTAAAATTATGTGAAGCTTATGCTTTCTGTAAAAATCATTCTTTGATAACTTTATTTTTCCTCTGACATAATCTATATTAAGTTATGAGACACCTTTTCAAAAATAATGCAATTTGGAAATGATTTGAAGAGTATTTCTTGAAGCGAGACACATGAAACAGACAAGTGTCTAAGTGTCATTTTTCACAACCACCTGAAGACAAAAATCTGATTTTGTTTGTGCTATAAACCTATTTTACAATAATTCCAATAAGATATTAGGGAGGCACCAAACAGAGGTAGCAAATCTTTCATGGTTAGTTTAAAAGGTGAATTGTAAGGTGAATTTTAGTTGCGTTTAAGTATATATAAGGGAACTGTTTTCTCTTTTTCTCTTACAGAGTAGAGTCATTCTGCGAATGGAGAAACATAAAGTCCTTATATTTTGTTCTCTCTGAAATTATTTTAGGTTAAAATGCTCTCTAGGTCCAAATAGCAATAAAAATGATTGAAGTGCAATGTGTATTTATATGCTGTAAAATTGTCTGAAAACTATTATCCTATTTGCTGCTTCCCTGTGCGGTGTGGGGTTTTACACCATTTCTAGAGTGCATGAGGGTAGCTTCACATGGGAGGAGGGAAGGTGGTTCTGCACCTACGAATTCATAGTCATCTGAAACCAACTTCTCCAAGTTTTATAACATAATATGAAGTCAGCTTCATATGCCAGAGAGTAACCATGTCTATGACTGAGGAAAGAGTAATGATGTGGGAGTATTTCCACTGCTCATTTCTTCAGCTTGGAGATTAGAATAGATTAGATCTGTGGGAATGAAAAGGTTTGCAGAGAAAGGAGGTGGGAGAGGTCCTCTCGTTATCTAAGGACTCCTTATTGTCTCGTAGAGAAAGAGAGGAGCTACCTGGCCATGCCACTAATAATTTTACTCTTGCCAAGGAGACTAAAGTCTTCCTCATGGAAGATGGAAGTGCTGCTTCAGATTGCAATCACTGGCATGCTCTCAACTGCAAGAGGCTGTCTGAGAACCTGACACTTTGGAATACTTCACGATGCCAAAGAAATGTCAATATTCAGGTGTACAAAGATTTGGGAGATTGAAAAATAAGATTTATAAGGTATATAAGAAGTATTAAAAAAATAACCATTATCAAAGAAGGCTAGGGAACCCTAGCACACTGTAAGTGAAGCACAGTATTTTATTATCGGACTTTTACAGCCCCTAGGAGAGCATTAAATACTTCACAGTAGCAACACAAAAAGAAAATTCTCAGCTAAAATCTATCATCATGAAAATTATTACAAAACTTCAAACTTCAGAAAGCAATGGTGTTTGGAGAAAGAAAAAACAGCCTTATGTACCTCAGTCCATCTCAAACCCTATGTTTTCACTTGGAAAAGACTTGTACCCATCACTGTGGAGAAATATGACTGTAAAATGAAAATGATGAAGCAAAAATATAGATATTCTTTCTCCCCAAAGAGTCAATGCAAGAAACAGAAATTGCCCTGTTAGTCATCATGTAGGCCTGGCCCAGGACCTGAGGGTGGAACACAAACAAGAAATCACTGAGACGGAAGAAGACAATCAGGAAAACATGTTCAGAGCTGTTGTTTGAGATTTGTAAAACGTAGGAAAGTAAAAAAAAAGTTAATACGAGCTAATTTGTGATCTGAGGAAACTGAGGTTGAGGAAGTAATTCAGATCAGTAGGGACTGAAATATTTATAAAACTGAGACTGAAGAACAAGGATAATTGACCTCAGAGGGAATCACAGAGAGCTGGCTACCGAGTGCTACGACCACTTTGATATATTACTATCATTAGTGCTGGCTTGGATCTTGTTCCAAAATAGTCTACATTATTTGTCATTTTATCCTATCATTCCTTTCAAGGTGTCCACACAAAGTAAGAGAATAATAATAATTCTTGACAAAATGATAGTAGGAAAATACAGCTGAACTAAGACTGCACATGTCTGTGTAACTGCAGAAGTGCTTTAAAAACTATTTTTGCCTATTCCTTTCCATTAGTCTAATGAACTTTTTGTATTAGGCAGAAGTGTCTGTAAAAGAATGACAAAATTTAACAATAGCTGTTCTAAGTAGCAGGCAAATTCTTAGGATGTAGTAAGATAACCAAAAAAAGTTTCCTCGGGACAACCTAGTACATTCTGGCAAAGTACCAGGCGCTAGAGTCATAGAAGTTGGTGGAAAGATTATGTCAGATGGAGCTGCAGGTCTATAGCTATTACACTATGGGATCCATATTTAGCACCAGATTTTGATCCTATATTTGAATTTAAACAGATGGCCCTCAACTGCTTCCATAAAACCTAACTCTGGCAAAGGCCTGCTTGCCCAAGGAAAGAGGTCTTCTATCCAGTGGTTCTGTAGAGTGTCTTTGTTACTGCAAAATGAGTAAGGAAAAGCTACAGACCACAATTTCATTTAACAGATTTCCCATTTTAACAGACATCTATAAATAAAGATATTGAAATGTTCTTACTTTCTTCAGAAAGATCATTTTCTTCTGCCTCTCTTTCCATTTCTTTACACCATCCTTCCATCCTCTTAGTTTCAGTATGTAGCAACTTCATAAACCAAGATCCGTCCCGTCGACAAGGAGACATTCGACCAGTTTCTACTGTCTCAATGGCTGGTTCTAGCCAGGGTTCTGGTGGTGGAAGATTTGAGGTGTCAACTGGGGTCCTATAATCTTCTCTGTAACTGAAGAGTCCCTGTGTCCGTACAGTTCTCACTGCGCTGTATTGAGTAGGAGTGCTGGGCTCTGAGTGCTGCTGGAACGATGAGCCAAACTGAAGTCCTTTGTCCTCCATGGTTATGTGTCCTGGGAAGCCCTCCAATTCCAGGTCAGCCTGGACAGCTGCTGTTACACTGTTTGAGCGCTTAAATCGTCCATGTCTTGTTGATGAGGAAAGAAAGAAAAGAGATTAAAAAATATAAGTACGTATGTGATTATAAAAGGGCACAGAATAATGTTTCAGTGAATGAATTCTTTTTTTCCCCTTGAACTTTAGGCTATTTTTTTTCCTTGTCTTTATTTCACTAAAATAAGACAGTGAGTAACAACAGAGGGGAAAAAACAAATGCATGGGGTTATAATGGCATTATTGATTTGAGCAAAGATACAAAGGAAAATCATTTAAATTATCTCTTGAAGCAAATATTGATTTGTTCTCATGCTATAAAATACCGTGTATCATTGCTAAATGAAATGGAAATAACTAGCAGGACTGCAGAGTTATATATCCTGATGGAGGACTATTAGGTACACATATAAAAAAGTTCAAATAATAAGGATCATACTAGATGAAATCTGAAAATCTTCTACATTAAGACTGTTGTGAATTCTTTACTAAAGTAAAAATAAAAATAGTAGCACCAGATTAAAGAGTTTTCTTTTTCTCCTTCATAGAATGATGATGAAGTGTTGATTTTCTGGTGTGATATGCCACTAAGTAATGACATTTTAGAAAAGGTTTATGTTAAAAAGCTATATAGAGAGACAAAGATTGCTCGTGAAATCTTTTCACATCTAGGCTTATTGGTTCAAATTACTGCTAGTCAATGGTGCTAAAAAGCAAATAGCAGTGAGATATTGTCAGATAGCTACTGTGAAATGAGATAATAGTCCCAGTCCAGTATTCAATGGGCAGTGACTGCTAGGCATAACTTTTTAGTTAATATATTGATCAGCAGTTTTTTAAAAGTAGATAAGGATTGGCCAAGTGTAAAGCTTATTCTATATTAGGATAAAGGTACCCTGGTTTACAACCAATCCCTTATATCCTCCTGCAAGGCCTGCAAAAGCCTGTCAATGCAAGGGGTTCTTTTAGAAGGAACCATATTCCAAGATCTATCTCCTTGCATTTGTTCTATAATTAATGAAAGGATACTATTAATCCATTAAAAGCTTTCACTTTCTTCCCCCCAATTAAAACTTGGCAATCTGACTATATTAAGGAACCACTAAATAATCTCTACAAATTTTACCAAATCACCAGCATGCATATAATAAATTTGCCTTTGTGAATGATTTGGAGGCAGCATTTGAAATATGTTTGTTATTAATTCCTTACATAAACTGGTTTAATTTTATAAAAGACTATAGATTTTTGCATGTGCTTCAATTACCGTTTTTCATCTTCCACTTGCACCCCAACAGAGTGGTACTCCCGTAGACCTCTGCTCTCAGTATCTGAATCGGTCGCTGTTTCCACCTAATTCAACAGAAAAGATATATCTGCAGAGTTAGCACGGACAACTCAGCATTATTTCTACCTGTACTTATTTAAACTAATTATATGTTTCCTCTCCTACTGCTAGTAACATCTCCTAGTGCAGTAAAATTAAGTAAGTAAGTATTCAGCCTGGTATCATTGTTTTGGTACTGCATTTTACAAAGCTTTGTACTGCTCTGTTCTGCTGTGCAATTCCCTGTTTGAACACGAAGCAGATGCAATTACTCAGTTCAGTGGAAGCAGGAAGTAAGCCTGGCTTGCAAGGTTTCATCCCTAGCACTGGGAATCCACAGGATAGCCCCTTTCATATTATTATAAAACATTCTCATTATAGTGCATGATTTACAAAATAAAATAAAAACTCAAGTAGCCTCATAAACTTGCAAATGATAAAAAGAAATGTTGCAATGAAATTTTATCGACAAATGAGCTGACAAATATAGAACCATTTAAATGACATGAAGAATATGACAGAATGCCATATCTCACCCTTTTTAATAACAGGGTCCTGAAAATGTTATATCAAGCAAGTAATGTATACATTTTTATAGTATTCCCATCTGAAATACACTTGCCAAAATACATTCACAGTGGAGGTTTCTTCATAATTGAGACCACATCTCTACCATAAGTTTCTGCAGGTTTTTATGTAACACTCCCCACCTCCTCACTGCCCCCAGGTCTTTGACACAGACATAATGAATGTTGCAAAGTGTACAAATTATGTTGAATCAAAGGAGAGAGTTAGAAAAAAAACAAAATAAAGTAGAGCAGACTTTCCTTTTGGGTGTTTCACTGTTAAATAAAATAAATGTATTATCAGCAATCAGATTCTCAAGATGCATAGTCCATGGGCATATTCAAAGGGTACCTCTTAGGAAGACAAGACAGCTGTTCCCCTAGCAGCAGTCACAGGCAGCACACTAGTACCCTACTCTTTATCCTGGCCCCCTGGAATGAGCCCAACAACCTCCACAACTTTCTCCCAGCTGCACAGTTCCAACCCCACCAGTTTCTGGAGGGATGCACAAAGAAGGGAGAAGCGGGGTGGGAAGTGAATGTGCACGTAGGCTGCATTTTTTGGAGAAGCGAGTTCCTGGTAACTTCTTTTGGTTTTCAAGCAGTATTTCCATGTATATTCACAATGAAGGAAATAAAAAATGGTAATAAGGGCAGTATTTCCATGTGTAGGAAGGAAATGAAGGAAATAAAAATGAAGGAAATAAAAAATGGTAATAAGAATGTATTCATGTTTATCTGTTGGGGGAGATCTTAATGAAAAGCTACTGCAGGAGCCCTTCGGTAAGTATTACAGCATAACTTGAACCGTACAATGTAGTGTTAGGCACAGGTTTGTGAAGAGCTCCGGCTATCAGCACGAAAACTGCCAGGGAAAGACATATTTCCCAGTATGTCCTTTTATTCTGCATGTGCTGCAGAGGAAAGCATGCCCTGTCATCTGTTCCCATCTTTGTAGGTTCATGGAAACCTGATATATTTGCTTGGAAAGGTTAAGCATTTTGAGCAGAGTTTTCTCTAAGATATCTGCCTCAGAAACAGGCTCAAAGATTTGCTGCTGTCAGTATAAAATGAAAGCCTGCATTTGACATTAACAGCCTCAGTCATTGAGGCTTCAGGGGGAAAAAAAGACAAGCAAGTTGGTTTCCCTAATTCAGGTGGATCTCAGCTACAACGTGGGTGAGAAGCTTAAGCTGAGCCTAGAAGGTCAATTGTTCCCTAAAAAAAAAAAAAAAACCTTATTAAATAGTGCATCAGTAACCGTCAGTCCTTTAGTACACGGAATAGCTATTGGGAAGGATACCCTTATTTATAGCATGCAAGTCACCAAGGGTCCAAAAGAGTCTTGAAAAATAGGTTTGAGTCTAAGTGAGGGACTAGGCACTCCACTAGCCCTTTCAGGGACTTCAGAAAAGCTGGATTTGAAATTTCTTCTTCATCAGAGACTGACAAGACAGAAATAAAGATGAATTGAACTGAGCCAAGAGTCTACATATGAACATGCACATACACACATGCTGAGCCTCCTAGTTCTACCCAGTGACCTTCCTGAGAGCAGCTGCCTTCCCTCCTCCACGGATTACTTTTATGCCTTTCTTGCTGGTAGTGAAAAGCCATCACTGTAAACCTTTTCCCCCTGGCACAGGGAAATTAGTTTTATTTAGTTTTGTCATTTTCAGTGCCAGCTTTTGCCTGCTGAATTAGATTCACGTGAGTAGGATGCCATGAAAAGCAGGACTTCCACTGGCAGTCCTTAACTACAGTGACGAGCGCTTAGTCAAATATGCACAGCCATGTTCTGAAGAATGAAGCTAAGCTATTCTCAGAAAAAGAGGGGATGGCAGGTAGTGAATAAGAATAAGAATGAATAACAAAAGCATCAGACTATGGCTCTTGAGGGCACTTTTATGAATGCTGACAGGAAGATGATTCTAAAGTTAGGAGAACATTTTCTGGGGAAGTCTCTTGATATTTTAATCCCAGCAACATCTGCGCTGGTCAGGAGCTAAAAGCTACAGTATTTGGGCTTCTTCTAGGACAGACAGAAAGATCCCCAAAGCTACCCGAGTCACTCTGAAGTAAATCATACAATTTAGGAGCCAGACAGATAAGCTCAAAATCACAATATATGAAAGTAATGCCATGAAAGGGAGTCTTCAACCAGAGATTTCACCTTCCTGTGAAGATGAGAAAATCAGCAGTACTACACAGGCTTCACTAGAGGTATTAACCAGAGGACTATGTATTTTAGATCAGCAGCTGGAAACTGGCTTGAGCTTATGGGCAGGGAGTGATTCTGTAGAAAGAGCAGCACAATTCACCTGATAGTTTCAAAGGTTTCAGTGATCATGTTTTTTACAAAGATACCATCTGTTATGCTACCAATGATAGGAGAAAATTTTAGAAAGCTATTTTCCTTCTGACATGTGGGAGGTGTTTTTCTTCATTTAAAAACTTTAATATCTTCCTACTTGTGTCCTCACTTCCTTCCAAAGCACTGGCTTGCTTTGCAAAGCCCTTAGAATGACCATTTCTACATGCCCTCCACCTTGGGACCCTCAGATCACTCCTGCAGGATAACTGCTGGATCTGGAAGTGGGCTGAGGAAGGTCAGTGGCTACTTAGTCCTCTGGGACTAATGCACAGCTAATAACATAGTGTGGAAGGTGAGCAAATAACATAGTGTGGAAGGTGAGTGATGGGACTTTTGACTTCCATGCGGATGCCTCAGCAGCTCAGATATTGTGCTTTTGTAACTGTGATGGTCTAATGGATCGTCTGTGATGGATGATTTGCATAGAGAAGATCAGTTAGGCTAGTTGATATTGCCGGAATAAAGCAGACTATTTTGGGAACTTTTCTTCACACCTTTCTTCAATACTGCATACCAAAGGCATGTTTGTTTTGGATAATAGTTATTGCTTTGTTTAGTAACAGATAGCATGGCTTCTTTTGAACTCTGCTTTTGCTATTTTGGGGGACAAATTCCCTTTTGCTTTTTGTTTGACCTGGTATTTTTCTGGTATTTTTTCTCTGATGTAACACGTCTAGGAATAATCATTTCATTTACCCAACCATTTTCTTATCGATATTTCACCCAGAAAAATATCCTGGTTAATTTCGCCCATATGTAATTGACACCTGGAATTTGCAGGCATAAATGAAGTAATCTATTATAAAATCTTATTCAAAACAAAATTATCATGGAAATTATGGTCCTGATATCAAAATGGAAATGGTATTAGTTAGCTCTAAATATAACCTCTTTCCAAATTATCCTTCAACCCAGCTTGCCAAAACTGACAGTGAGTAAATGACCTCATGATTGTCTTCATATTTTAATGCTTTCGTTTCATTACTGTAGTTTGTATCAGCAGAAGAATGCCAAATATTTTTTTTTCTACAGTTTTGGAGAGCATATATTATAATAACCAAAAAAAAGGAGGAAAATGCCAACACAAGTTCAAGTGGGAAATAACAAACTAATTTTCACTCCCAAGGAAACAAATGAAGAAACAAATTGTATTTCTGAATGACAGATGGCATAATGACTCCCGCTAGAGGACAACAGAAAGCTCTTTAAGTTTAATCAGATTGGCCGAACTAAATTCCAATGAGCAGAGGAGAAAAAATGTGTTTGGTTTGATCGTGTGGCTTATGAAACTTGAATCATCCTTAAAAAATCTGCCGTTAGTCTTCATGGTTCTTTATTGTTTTCATACTCACTAGCATGCAATCTAAAAGCCTTTATATTTGCAAATTGCCCCACAACCTTAACAAAGTGAAATGATGTGACAAGATGTATGGCTATTTGGCATTCTTATGCATAAGAAAAATTCAGAAATCAACCAAAAGCAGAAGAAAGAAGAGGAGCAGCTCTAATACAGCAAATTATCTTCTTCTCCCCTTGCAAATAAAGAACTCACATTCTTTAGAAATTTGGTCCTTTAAAAAATGCTTTAAAAAATGGTGTTTGAGGGCTTTACAGTATGTTATTCATAGTAAATGCATTAGAGAAAGGCAAATCTGGACAACTTTCTGTAATCAACAGCTTTTTCAAGGCAAAGATCTAGAAGAAGCTCCTGCTGTTGGGGCCAGAATCCTCCTTCAGCCACTTTCTCTGCCCCTTGCAGAAATTACTCTGAGGAGGCTACAAGGCCAAGACAGCTCCCATGCAGAGGAGGTTACACTGCCAGGAGAGGAGGAACCAGAGCAATTAGCCTTGTATGAGGGCTGAGCATCTGGCTTTGTGGAGGACCGAGACCCAAAGGAAATTATAACATTTTTGTTATCGTGGCTTGCATCTTAATAATCCCCCTATAAAGTCTGATCTTCTATAAACACTTTTAGCCTGCAGTACAGCATAGGCTGCAATTATAATTACAGGCTCTATAATTATTAGACTCTTAATTCATATTTATACACATGAAAAACAAGTCATTGTTTTGTTCTTATTTCTG